ACCCCTGCGCGCCCCCCCCCCACCCCAACCTACCTTCATTGCCGTTTATGTCGGGCTCGTCCCATCCAAACTGCCAGTTGAGGTGGTTCGCGACCTGGGGGCAGGGGCGGGGAGAATGGGTTGGGGTTGGGATCGTGCGTGGTGGGGCGCAGGCAGGGGTTAGGAGGGGTGGAGGCGTCGCTGGGGCGGCCGCATGGCGTGCGGCAGGCGAGCGGGCAGAGGGCCTGCCAACGCCCCTGTGTGGATGTGTGAATGAATTCAAAGGGGGGGAATAAAGCTGCTTGATGAGATTTGAAAGGCGCTCGCCCATTGCATTGTCAGCCTCTGCAAACTAACCCCCGCGGGGCTCTTTCACAGACAGGCCTGCCAAATCGTCCCCACGGCCCGCGCTTCCACAGCTGGTGCACGCACGAGTGGGCAAGCACGCGCGTGCACAGGCCGCGTCCAACCATGCTGGCTGCAGCACACTGGTGCCCAGCAGCCACACAGAGTCCCTTTGACAAACAGGCACACGCGCGCACACACACACACACACACATACAGACGCGCGCGCGCGGTGCCATGCACAGGCGCACACACAAACACTTTCGCCCCCCCCTCTGTCCCTCTCCCTCTCCCTCTCCCCCTCCCCTTCTCCCCCTCTCCCTCTCTCTCTCTCACTCACGCACACATACCAACACACACACACACACATACCAACACACACACACACACACACACCAACACACACACCCTGCAACCCACCGAGGCCATGTCTGGTTCCAGCATGTAGTTGACGCGGCGGTAGGGGCGGTGCAGGACCTCACACACCTGGTTCAGGGGGGGGGGGTGGTAATGTGAGGTGTGGAGTAATTAGCGGGTCACGGTGTGCAGATGGGGGCCGGGGTACACATGCATTCATGTTTTTGTCTGTTGGCATATGAGTTCGTGTGCATGCATGCATGCATGCCTGTGTGTGTGTGTGTGTGTGTGTGTGTGTGTGTGTGTGTGTGTGTGTGTGTGTGTGTGTGTGTGTGTGCATTCTGCTTGCCCCCAATCCGTCCCCTGAGCAGGGATTGAGGCGAGGCACCACAGCCCAGGTGCCACTGCCATGGCTCAAACATTCCCGCGCGGCGTCGTGGCTAGTGGGAGGCGTGTGCAGCAAACTCTGCGTTCCCAGTGAAAGCAGCAGGAAGGACAGAGCCCGTCCCTCCCGTGTCGCAGCATGCACCCTGGGCCCCGGGCAGCGGTCAAAGCCCGCCGCCTCGCAGGGGCTCTCCCATGCGCGCGCCTCCCCCCGCCGCGACCCTGGCGCCCCTCCGCAGCACTCTGGCCCCTCTCTGCGGCCCCCCGACCCCTCTCCGCGGCGCCCTAGCACACTTGCGCGGCTCCGAGCCGGGCGGCCGCCCTCGACACCCCCTTCCCCCTCAAAAAAACCCTGATCCAGGGCAATATTTCCCCCTCCCCCACCTCATCCAGATCCATGCCCTGATCGTACGCCCAGCCGACGTTGGCGGGGGTCTCCCATGAGTCAGGGGGCGCGATGTGCTCCGACAAATCGGGCTCCAGGAGCTCCAGCTGAACGGGCCAGCGGTACAGGTCGCGCTGGGCCAGGCGGTGGACGCGCACCCTGACCTGAGGGGTTTCGTTTTGTGTGTGTGTGTGTGTGTGTGTGTGTGTGTGTGTGTGTGTGTGTGTGTTGGTGTGTGTGCTTGTGGGTGTATGTGTATGTGTATGTGTATGTGTGTGTGTATGTGTATGTGTGTGTGTATGTGTATGTGTGTGTGTATGTGTATGTGTGTGTGTGTGGGAGTGGGGTGATGGGAGGGGCGTGTATGAGGGGACAGAGAAAGGTGGTGAGGAGGAGACGGATAGAGTGTGTATGTGGAAGAAAGAGCAAAGGGATCAGAGACGGCGAGTGGGAGAGCGAGGGGGGAGCGCTCGCATGCTGCATGTGTGCATGCGTGTATTGACACCAGCGGGTTGGCTTTGCACGGGCGCGCGCGCAGATGTAAAGCATGACGCTGCCCAAGTTTCCGCAGCCGGCGCGCCATCGAACAGGCGTCCTAGGACGTGCCCCGCGCCCGTCCGTGCGCTTTTCACGGCCACGCTCCCCAATATGACGCCCCGGCCCACCTGCGTCCCCGGCAGCAGCGCCTCAGCGACGGCCTCCTTCTTCCACTCCTCCTCCGTTATGCGCACCAGCCTGGGTCGAGCGGGCGGGGGTGGGGGGCGTCTGGGCTGCGGCACCTCGCATCCGTCTAGTCCCTGCTTAGGGCACGGATACGGCGCAAGCAGCACGCGCACGAACGCGCATATGCGCACGCGCGTGCGCACACACACACACAATATGCGCTTGCACTGCGCCCACAACCCCATCGCCCCTCAACCACCGCGCACGCCCACCCACCACACCCCCCC